AGGATCCTGGCAAAATGATACAAAAGTGTGTCTCAACTCTGCACTAAGATGCAGTTGTGCAGAGCACTTAACCCCTGGTGGGATTAGTAGAAGACTGTGGTTGTACTAGGCGACTCTGAGGTGTAAAAATGTATAAATGTATTAATGTGAAGCAGGATGGAGCTGAAAGTGTGTGTTCAGGAAAACCCTCTCTGGACTTTTTGATAAATGTAATAAAGGAAAAACATGGTGTGAAGAGGAGTAAAAAAGACTCAACATAACTGCATTTTGCATAACCAATATGAATTCAAAATTCAAATTATCTGTGACGTACACTTATTTTGATATATCTCTCAAGACTTACATCAAATCACTTGTTCAAAGAGAAGAAAGAGACTGACTTGTCACCACAGTATTAAATGATTTGTTTAGATGGACATTTTTTTCAGTAAAGGAGGAATGCAAGTGAAATGATGCCCTCCATTAGTTTTGCTGAAACACTACAAAGACCAAATGTTGGACATTCTGGAGGTTAATGGAGTGTGGTTTTGATTCATAGTCAGCATACTGTAGGTGTTGTTATAGAAAACTGTCTCCAATGGTCTTTTTAACCTCTAGGCCATGTGTATTATATCTCTTTGTGTTATATACAAGAAAGGCATACAGCCTTGTGATACAACTGTGCAGTAAACATTCTACACTACACGGCAGTCATTGACTTCTTCAGGACAATATAAACAAGGGTTTACACTGAACAAATCCAAAATGGCCCAAAATACATGTAAACTTACTTTATGTCCAATTTCCAGAGGAGAGAGCTTGAGGTTCTTCTTTTTGTGAGATGATGGGGAATTGCATTGTGGAAGTCATAACAGTCTTATTAACCATTTATGACGCACTTGGCTTCTCTTGGTTTTACAAAAATAGTTAGTTACAGATATTTTATTTGAGAATACACCTTACTTTAATTAATTCATTAAATTAAAACATCCATTTAGTCTCTGTCCCCATAGTTCTGCATGACAGGGGAGAATAATCTTCGATCTTGAATTTGTTTTCCATGCCAAAAAAGCGTAAGTGACCCCATTATTGAACTGCAACGGTGCAATTGGGATTATTATTTAATATTTTGGGAACCCATTTTTCTACTCAGTGGTAACTGTCATTTGCCTGTCCATAGTATGTTCAGAGGATTTCCCATGATCCAATAGTGCTAACCCTAAACTAACCTTCTATTTCTGTTTTGAATCTTTAAGAATAGATTCACTAAAGCAACACACCTCTTAAGCTGATGATACACAAAGCAATGTTTAGAGCAATGGTGCTGGGCAATGTTGCCGTCAATGGTAATGAGCAAAGATTACTACCGTAATCCCCTTCCCCCATCACTCCGCCACCCTCCCCGCACCACCACTATCCATTCAAAACATAGTTAGACTTGCCACCAGCAACATTGCCCAGCAACATTGTTCAAAAAGTTGCCCCGTGTCTCACTAGCTTTAGTTCCAACTTGTAATAGGCATTATCATGCACTTGACACTGAAACAGGAAACTGTTCCTATTTAAATCTGCATAGATTTTTGATGCTGAGCTTCCAATTTCTTTTACAAATCACTGGTGTTTGCTATTTAACTGTTGGTCACAGTTATCTTTCAGTTGTTTTGGTCGAGCCATGTACAAAACATTATTTTCATTCATTCAACTTTCTACACTGTCGCCACAAGTTATAGTAGTCATTACAATTTCCTCCCATTCCTCATTCTCCAAGAGTTGCTTTAAAACCATAGGGGACCTGACATGACTAAAGTGTTGTATGACTGAAGGAGAAATAAAGAAGAGCCATTAAATAAGCAAACTAACACAGAAATGTCAGTTACACAGAAATATCTGACTGCCGTTTGCTAACATTAGTCAGCTTGAGCTACTGGTCATACCAGACCAAGTAAGGTTGTAAGAACAAAACCCCTTAAGTGTATTTAATTGAGCAAGGGTGCATTTTATTAATTATGAATTGAACATTTCATTTTTAAAAGAAAGATTATAATATTTCTCTTTTCACTCTCCCCAATTTATAACGTGTTTACTGTTTAACATTTCTTACGTAGAGATTAGTTGTTACTAAATAGTGACACATACTAGAAGTGCCAGGTGTAACTATTACATAGCTAACAGCATAAGCTGACAAAGCTAATGTTAGCTTGCTAATATACTCAACCTGATAATGATGATTAACAATGATGTATAAGTGGGATGATTTTAAATGTCCCAAAAAGTAGACTAAATGACCAAATAATGTTCGTTAGGTTAGCATAATCTGATCTAATGTGTCTCTGATTGTAAACTACATTAATACTACAAACTCTAAAACACACTATTTACATGCATAAAAAAACAAAGTCAAAACTACATTTAGAAAATATATTCAGTTAAGTTTAAGATATGATTCAGTTTAAGGTATGATTTGGTCTCTAAGCAACTAATTTACATATTAATGTCTTTACAAACTATTGTGCAACCTGATTTGATAAATGACTCATATAAAGGACTGACACATAAACTTAAGAATAGTTGTTGGCAACCCATCCAGGACTTTGGACAAGGTAATAGATGAAGGACAAGTCAAGGTAAACAAACAGAGGACTCATACTAAACAACTAAATTTGATGAAGTATACAAACTAGAGGATGTTCTGCATAAATGCCCAGGAAGTAGCAGCCTTTTGGCTGACTGACAAATCTCATGTTTCTTTAAAACATCCAGAAGATGCATCTGCTGCGTCAAGCTAACACGCAGAGATTGTGTTTGACTTTCAAAGGAAATGTGTAATGAGCACGCTACGGAACTAGGAGCTAATTAGTAAGACTTGAGTTGATTTTTTTTTCAATACTTTAAATGCCAGACAATGCTCACAGCTGAAGGCGCACAGATGTTGGAGCTGGTAAATGGAGTTCGGAGAAGGGCTTATGATTAAATGAATCTGATTGTGTTGTAACCCAGAGGTAAAGAGCGGAGGAACCATGTGAGGGTAAATTCAGCTACAGTAAGAGGTTGTCCTAATGATGATTTCAGAGCTTATGGTATATGTGTGACTGTGTATTTGATTTTGTTTTGTCCTAAAGCACAGCAATTGAGCTCAGAAGCGCCGATGGATGCACGGATGGGTGGTTGGAAAGATGGATCAGTCATTGCATGGATGGATGAGTGGTTGTGGTGATGGATGGATGATAGATGTGTGTCTGATACGCTGCAGGAGTACATCCACTGACTTAGAGATAAAAACATCAAAGGGACTTAAAAATCCATCTCATTGTTATCTTGACAAAAGTGTCAAGATAACACAAAGATAGCCAGCAAAAGCCAAAAGCTGAACCCAATAACAAAAACTAAATGACAGCAAAAATCACCAAGAAAGGAAGTCATAGGACAGCAATTTATTCCATACAATAAGTAACAAGTGCATGTACTGCATTTTCCCCCAGTGTTATAATATAACACAGTGACACTGGGAATTAAAAGTACATAGTTTTTTCTTGTATGAAAAATCTACATACCCTAGAACATAATTTATTCATAATACATTATGATACAGCCTACCCTGTATTATGTTCTATATGATAAAAATATATACTATTGGCTATATATTAAACGTTTATTCAAATATATCAATTCTCTATAAAAACAATGTCAGCTAATTTGTCCATGTCTTTTTTTGTGGTGTTCAGTTTGTACCCTCCAGATTTCATTATTTCCCTTTAATGTTTGTTGTACTTACTTTTTTTTTGTTAGGACTTTTTTCTAGTAAATGTGACATCATTAACCCACCAGCAAATGTATCGTCTATGTGAATTATTCCACTGACTAGTGTTTTTTCTTTTTCTTCGGGGCTTTCAACTGCATCTTATGGTCTTCCTCAGTTGTCATTGCGTCACTCCAGTCATGTGATAACAACGACACAGATGGAAGATCTGGAATGGAGTAGAGCTTGCATGAAATGATTTTCATGTTTGACTGTCAGTCAACTTTCCAGACAATCTGTTGTACTTTCAAACATGCCTCGTTCGGATGGAAACAAATCAAAGCAGCAGTTCAATATGCTGTAACAACCGCAATGGCTTCACATCCAATCACACCAGCATGTTAATAACATTATCTGTCAATCAATCACTGTAATTAATACTGTCCGAGGATTTTGAAACTTGCAATACTTTTTCCGCTCATTCCCACATCAGTCTTGTCCAGTTTGTCCCCCCCATGATTAAAGCACAGCACTGACATGAATGGGAAATAGATTCTAAAACAATGCCTGCTAATGGAAGCTGAGAGCATGGATGATTAATGGATGATTGTTTAATCGATTAATATCCAGCCTCAGAGGATTAACAGCAAGGGAGATTTCATTTCATGTTCTGCTGGTTCGTAGACATTAAATAGCTTACAGCTGATATCTCCCCTGTCCCAGCTGGTACCTTGCTTTATGCAAAAACTCTCCTATGAATGCAGGAGGTTTACATTGGCAGCCATATGAACTACTTTACTATGAGGGTCCATGTGAGCATGCATTCAGCAGTTTTCTTAACCCCTTGGTTGAAACCAATTTATAAAAAATAAAAAAGCTGATTAGAACACATTCAATTCCACGCTTTGAGACTCTGATCCTCTGCTTAATGCCAGCACTTCTGCAGAAAGGGGATTGCAGATTGCTATTTTTCATGAAGAACAAAGGGGCGGTTTAATACCACATCCTAAAGAATTTCATATCCTGCAATTCAATACATACAGAGAAGGTGGAAGATAAGTCAGCATTTTCCTGTATTGCATCAGTGTTAACATCCAGCAGCACAGCAGACACTCATGAGATGTTAAGCCCATCGTATCAGTTACACGCAAGGAACGTTAATCCCCAGGCACCTGGGAGTTGTGTTGATGACTGAATTTTCTAGTCTGTGTTTTAGCTACAACATTCATTTGCAATAAAGATCTTTTCTCCTCTCCTGTCTTTTCTTCTCTTCACCTCACCTCAGGTTGGAGGACATACCATGTTACCTATTCGCTGGATGCCCCCGGAAAGCATCATGTACAGGAAATTCTCCACGGAAAGTGACGTCTGGAGCTTTGGAGTCATCTTGTGGGAGATCTTTACCTATGGGAAGCAACCTTGGTTTCAGCTGGGTAATAACGAGGTACAAAGAGCCTGAATTTAGATTAACCTTCACAAGATACAGTACATATATATCATGAACGGCTGTACTGCAGGCCTTCATGCACACAGTGACAATAAGCTCCAGGTTATCCAATGGCAAATGATGAAGTCTTGAATGTTTCTTAACATCTCATGGGTGGTACAAATAAGGATATTTATTTCAAACCAAATGAAAAACAGTATGTTTAATTCATGTAGAGTTGTTATTAAAGCAGAAGAAGTAGGAATCGAATAGACTGGCCTTCCCACACAAAGCATCAAGGGCTAAAGTGAAAGCATGAGCTTTCTAATAACAGATTTAAATGAACACTGCCATTTTGGATCTTAATCTACTGCCTCATGTTGATTCTTTTCTCTTTCTGAGACTCACGCTGGCCCAACGAGGTGATAAATTGATGCCGCTTTGACACCAGACAAGATGCCGCATTACATAACACCCATGATTGGTTTGTTGTTTCATTGGAGGCTCTGCTTTGAATCAATAAAATTCAATTAGGATTACTCTTGTAAAGCGAGCATATTGAGAAAATTAAATTGACCCAAAAGAATAACCTGGCATGTGGCATGCTCTCCACTTCAAGCGAAACATCAATATGCTCTTGGACTTGACACAAATTAGGATTTGCACATTTCTATGTATGTTGCGCAAAAAGATTTGAGACACTTTACATGAAACAGCTGTTTTAACTACGTTGCTGAAGTCTTACAACAGTGTTATAAGATGAGCTCCGTATTATGTCATAGCCAAAATCTGTTTCTCATTAGTCATTGTGTCTTCAGGTAGTGTTAGATTGGATTAATGTACTTATTATTCAGTTATTCAGATTGAACATTTATAATTCTGTATCAGTGACAGTGATGACTGGAGCGTAGGATCAGGCCTCATTCTCCACTGGGCCCTATAGGCTCCACCACTTTCCTCTACTTTCATTCAAAAAACAACTAGCATCACAGAGAAAAAGAAAGCTGCGCCACACCAAAACACCTGACATTACAAACTGCCATGCTGCCAAACATTGTTCAAACCCACAAAAAACTTTATTTTAAATTCTATAGGAGATCGCAAAGTTTCCAAAGATACCAAAATATGTCAGGCTGAATATAGAGGAAATGTGTTTAAAATGATTCACAACACATTTGATGGAATGGTGCAGCCATGAAAGACATGGGGTCTTGGGTTTCTATATTTCACTCAGGGTAAACATCCTATTGCTTGAATGCTTGTCAGAACAAGTGGATACAGAATATAGCTATGCTGCCAGATAGTGAGAAATAAGATCATTTGAACAACTCTGAAGCAACTTTAGATGAAATGAAAGGAAAAACTATATGTAACATTATGCTGAAACACTACTGCAACCAGAGATCCGGGATGAACTGGTCTTCAACTTTTTCTATTCAGCAATGATCTTTCTGCGTGGGTCTCTTTGTAGCAGCTGATCCACATCCAGCCTGGTGCACCTTCCTGCACCTGAGACCCCCACTGATTATCTGTCTATCCGTGTTGCTTGTTAAGTTCAGAGACCAGAGTCGTGCTGCATTTATCACTAGCTCTTTGATTTTATATGAAAATTGTACTTAAGTACAGTACTTGAGTAAATGTACTTAGGAAGGAAATTCTTGAACTGGTCAGCCCTTATTGGTGAAGAAGGTTTCAGGAAACTCAGGAGGTCTTACACGGCAGTATTTATTGAAGCTTGGCTGGGGAGAAATGGCACAGCAGTACAGAGTGAGAACACCGTGTAGTGCCAAAACCAAATCTGAGCATCCCTTCTTGATCCACAATGTTTATTTATCCCTGTTTATTGTCCCTATGGAGTCTATGATGTACCCCCTACAAGGTAATTCTCTACTGGTCTAAATATATAACCATAACAATAATAATATAATAACAATAATATAACCATCTTGTTGGATGTTATATTATTCTCATAGTGTTTCCACAAACAGTTACAGAGAAGTTACACAGCTAGGGACAAAATAGGACCTGAGGTAAAGCAATATTCAATTTAAGGCCTTAGTTAGTCAGTTAAAGGAGAACTCCACCATTTTTACACATCAAAATCTGTTTACAGGCAGGGTGCGAATTATACAGTGACAACTGGGGGGGGTCAACTTTTTTTCCAGGTCAAAAAAGGAAACCCAGTACAGCGCAGGCGTGTGCTTCAGTGAATTTAAATCTTACAATGCTTACAATATCCTTGCTTATTTAACTAATGTCATCAGTCTGTAGATGATGATAAATCAAATTCATTCCTCCAGTTCATGAGTGCCCCATACCACACGACAACTTTTGTAGTCAGAGGTCACCAAGTATTCTAGAGCAAAACTGCCAGCAAGTCAGACACACAACAGCAGACCATCATGACAGCTCAAAACAAACCCATACAATGCTGAACCAGAGCAAAAGACACTGTCATAAAGTACAGTCTGCATTATTATTTCTAATTCCTTATTCTTATCATTCTCATCAAGTTTAAAGTTTCAATTTACTCTTTTGTAGCAAATATCTCTTTTCCTCTTGCTCATGTTGACTGTGAATGATAATAATAATGATAATCTGCGTACAATAAAGCAGTAGTCAGACACTGTTGTTGGGGAAATGAGAATTTTTGGGAATTCAAGAGTTAAAATAAATGCCATGTTTAATGTGAAAGGACTCACAAAAGAAGATAGAATATAGAAAATAAAATAATAAACTCTATATTGATGTAAAAATGTTCATTCCGATGTCCATTTTAGGGGTGTCGTATTCCAAGATCCTGAACTGTTGGTTTTGCCTGTTTTGGGGGGGTCCAAGCTTTAACTAGGGGGGTCAGACCCCCCAAATCCCCCCTGTAATTCGAACCATGTTTACAGGACTTTGGAAGGACTTCTGCATGTCTGAAAAAAGTTGTATTAGTTGTAAATTAGCTAGATTCTCTGTCAGTCATGATTACTCCCAGGATGACATGAATATTTTCTCACATCTTTTTGGCTGGGAGCTGTTGCCATAACTACTGCGGCCACCACTGGTTGTTTTTAATGTTTGTGATCTGAAAATGTAGGCACAGGGGCTCCAGATGTTTTTGTAGGAGATGATGCCCTATCCCCTCAGCCTAAGTCTCAAGGTAGTTTGTATGCCAGGCCGTCCTTTGGTGAGAAAACATGAGAAACAGAATGTAACAACATAGAGAAAGCAGCGCTTTCCCTTGGTAAACAGATGCAACAGGTGGAACAATAGAACAGGGTTTTCCCACTTGTTTGTACTAATATTTTGTATTCTCTCAGGTTTTTACTGTTGTTGACACTCTTGAGTATAAACCACAGCAAAATCATATGTATTTAAACACTGATTAGACTTCAGATAGCAGCAGATTATGAAATGCTTTGTTCTGACAGCGTGGTGTGCTGCTAGCTTGCAAGAGCATGAAATTGCATGAGACCATAATATGTCTTACGGGGAGAGTTTCCATTTTTACTCTTCAGCTGTGTTGGTAATTATTCTATGCCGTAATAACTGGAAAACTTTGAAAAAAGAACATAACATCTGAGATGGGGTACCTAAGCGTGAAGCGTGAATACATTTTATGTGGTGACAATGCTAAAATAAAAAGTAAAAAAAACCCAGAAAACAACGCTTTTCTCTGCAGTTTTTCAGTGCAGCCACAGTCATTACACATAAATAGACCGTTATCTGTTCTCTTAAGCTACAGTGACCTGGAGCTGACACAAATAAAGTCAAATAGTTCACAACCACAGTGAGTCATCTGCCTAATGAGAATCCAACAAAGAAACAATCACCCTCTTAGCAATATCTTAACCCCACAAATATTCACTATTATTGTTATTGTGTGCTATGGGACAGAAAGAAAAATCTTGTTTCCCCTTAAATATTGGAGACATTTGAAGACGGAATGCATACGGCTTATTTCTCTTATCTCAGTTTCATTAGTTCAAACCTCAAAGGCCTCCCTGCTCAGTGTCAGTGCTTTCTCATTATGAACAGCAATCAGTCAGTAAAAATCTTCTGTCTCACTCCACTGCCCTCTCTCCTCTGCAGGTTATTGAGTGCATAACCCAGGGTCGGGTTCTGGAGAGGCCACGGATTTGTCCTAAGGAGGTGTATGACATCATGCTGGGCTGCTGGCAGAGGGAACCACAGCAGCGACTGAACATTAAGGACATTCAGAAGGTCCTGTTCGCCATGGGAAAAGCCACACCGGTCTACCTGGACATCCTGGGCTAGCAGCGGCCGGGGGGTGGCCCGTTCTTCGCCAGACAGACAGATCGACAGAGACAGACAGACAGACTGACCCACACAAATCCAGGAATAACCAAACCAACCTGTTCCACTGTCGAAAAAAACACCTACAATGTTTTGGAAGGACTTAAGTGCCTGCAACACTTTTGGATATAGTGGATAAAACGTATTCAAAAAACACGCACTTTTACATTTTGTTTACTTGCGCATAAGATGTACAGGTTTGAAGAAGACTTTTTTTCCTCAAAAAACTGCAAAAATACACCGAAATGGAGACGAAAAGAAAGTAAAGTGGACTGGCAATAGGAAAATGACCACAGTTTGATTATATTATGGAGAGAACACATCAGAGTTAGAATCTATCCTGGGTTTGTTTTATGAATATATATAGAAATATTACATATATTTTATATTTATTTCATTTTGTCAGGGTGTTGAAGGGTCTGCCATGTGTGTTGCTAAGGGCTCGGCCCTGTCTGAAGACGTCACGGACAGACTCTTGGCAGGGACTTGTCGATGGTAGCCTTACTTGCACTCTGATTGGCTGGCACTGAGCTTTTAATGGGAACTTTGCCTCTGTGGAATAACACTGGAGGGTTGACAGGAAGGAGCGCTCCGTAGAGGCCCTACCCAATCAGACAACTGACAAATCTATTTTAATTTAAAAACAATGTACATATTGTAAAATTCTATGTGTCAAAATTATGTTAACTTATTTTTTCGCGTGTTATTTTGGTTCCTTTTCTGACTGTGATCTGGGTGGGTAAAGTATAAAGCTATGGTATTTGTTTTCATCCTAGTCTAGTGGAGATTTCTCTTGGGAATTACCTGTGTCAGTGCTGGTAAGTTGTCTTATGTTGTGAAGGTGAATGGCAGTGAATACTGTTCGAAAAATCCACTGACACTGAATCATAGAGACTGCAGAATTGGGGACAACTTGGAGCCATCAACACGACACTTTTCCGAAGAGGTGATGAAACCTCATATTCACTTTCCAGTTCATTTGCTTTTTATGGCAAGAATAATGTGTTGAGAGAAAAAAAAATACACCACACCCCTCCAACACATAGACACGCTTTGAGAAACTGTTCTGTCATTTTTAGGCTTTTTGGTGTGAAGCTGCTTTTCCACTCTAAAGAAAACATTTTTGTAACTGGAAGTATAAATCATTCACAAGTGTGTGCCTCGCATACACAGCCTAAGAAGAGTAAAAAATAAAATCTGCGAAATTTACTATGAGCAAATCAACACCACTCACATATCTGTCAGCTAAATATGAAGCGACAGCATAAAGACTGGAAACAGGGTTAAACCGTTAGCCTCGCTTTCTCCACTTACCAGCACCAGTAACGCTGATTAACTAACCTGTTAAATCTCTTTCAAAAGCACATTGACATTTAAAAGCAATTAACTAAAAACCCAGTCTTCGAATTTGAGCCGTACACTTATTAATTAAATACATGCTAAATTATAATATCATCATTTTATGAGCGATAGATTGAGTAGTAGTAATAAGTTTTTCACAGCCAAAATATCTACTAGAGGATGGGCTAGCTAGGCTTGGCTCTCTATGTCCTGTTTGTTTCATCTGTACATAAACCGAGGTGTAAAAAGTAACCTCTGTAAAGGCTTCACCTTTACCTATGGTTTTGTTAAGATTTAACACTTCAAATATAACATGTTAATTGCTGAGCTTTAGAGGTGCTGATAGGCAGATTTTGTTACCTTAGGACAGAGCCATGCTAGCTGTTATCCCTTGTTTCAGATCTTTGTGTTAATAAGCTAACCGGCTGCTGGAAGTAGCTTCATATTTACTGTACAGACATGAGAGTGGTAACGCTTTTCTCATCTAACTGTCAAGGCAGCAAATAAGTGTATTTTTCGACATTTTAGGTTAATACCATAGGAATCCTGTCGCTTCACAGGCTGAGCAAAGAAACACTATGACTTCTTCGCTTGCATTTCCTTTACAAGAACAAAAGAAGAACACTTTTTCTTATTCATCAGCTGTACATGACTCACAGTCACGCTTTTCTTCCTCGCACTCGTGGCCTTTGCATGTTTAGCAGTGATGAGGTTTTACACCCGTCTGTTGCTTTGATAAAAACCTCTTCTGTTACGACCAGAGAGGAGCCACTGAAGCAGGTAGATACTTGTGTTGATTTATGGGCGGTCCATCAAAAATAATAATCACTCTAATGGATCAGCTAATTGTGTGGTATTACGCGTTCCATATTTTTGATAATTACAGTATTTAATGAACTGGAAAACATGACAAGAGTTTTGTTCCAAAATGTGAGAGAAAAACATGACCCCAAAAAAGCTTAACAGCGAAAGAAAAACTAAAACCAAATGATATTGCTTTTAAAGAATAGTTCATCATTAAGTACTCAGTTGACGAATTAAGTTCATTTTTACAGAGTGGATCCTGTAGATTGCTCCGTCACTGAATGATAAACCTCAGGCAACGATTTTATTTTATGTTGTGTCTGGATATATAGCGTTTTGGAGTGGAACTCTTCACATTTCTTCCTTATTCTTCCTATTATCTTGCTGACATAAATTCTCACATTATCACAGTGTTGTCTCTGTTCCCCTTGGGACTATGTAAATCATTATTTCAAGTATTTTATATGAAAGGCAGGATCAAATCCAACGAGTTACCCAAAGCATTCAGTTTTTGTGTATTCTCTTGTGGTAAAGATAAACGCTTAAAGACATTATGACAGATCGTGAGCATTTGCAGGGTATTGTAATCCTTTCATGGTGAGTTGAATATTGTTTTCAAAGTTTTCTTTTTTTTTCTTCTTTTTTTGGACAAACTAACTGAACACTTTTTGAAACAAAGTTGGCATATTACCATGTACACGTTACAGAATATAAAAATGTGGTATAACAACTGCAGTATATAAAATACTGGTATTCCATGATAGATCTTTGTATTAATGTGACTCTCTTAAGAAAATGTCTTCAAACAATCAGATGATCTCCTTTTCCATTTTGTCCTGTCTTATAAAGATGTGTAAATTTGACAAAATCTTGTCTTCATCTAAATCTGTGAGAAAGCTGAACAGCATGTGTTCAGTGTGCATTCTGTGTTATCTGCTGTTCCATCCACTCAAAACAAAAGAAACGAAAGTATCTTTTTCTGACCTATGGATAGGTCAGAGGTCAGGACAGACGACAGATCAGCTGCTGTGAAGCTAGTATTGATTTAGTGTTTATCTCCTTCAGCAGGTCAGCCTTTCTGAATTTTCTGTTTAATTATCTGTTTGTTTTGTTTCAGCAAATACACATCATCTTTCTTTCTATTTTCTTTTTTTATTGTGATTGGTCAAGTCTGAACACAGAAGCCATACACATATCAGCACAATTCAATCTCTCCAGGTGTTTATCTGCGATGGCATCTCTGATGTCCGTCGCAGATAAACACTCCTTATAATTTGAGGATCTTTCTTCGTAATTATCATTTTTTGACATTTTCTTTAGTATCAAAAGTAATCCACTTCATTTATGTCTACCTTATCAGTATTAAGGCCCAGAAATATGTTTCTTTGTGGTATATCACAAACCTGTAGTCATATATGCAAAAACAAACTACAGCAAAACTGTCCTACAACATGTATGGTACCACTCACAGGCAATTTCAGAAAAGCCCAAATTAACTAATGATCATTAACGATCATATGGTAAAGGTACAGCATGATATACTTATTTAGTTATCACACCAGCAACTAGAAAACCAAACAATATTAGGCTGATGGATCCAGTAGTATGCGAGATTCACACACCCCACACACACACCTGGCAGAGATAATAATATTGTCCACTTTCTCACCACAACAAGCAAGCAAACAGTAGTTTGCACAATGTGACTTCTACAAGAAGATCTATCTGGGAAAGTGCACTTTCATTTATGGAGATAGATAGATAGATAGATAGATAGATAGATAGATAGATAGGTAAGAATGTTCTGCAGCAAAGGTTGAACCAGTGTGCAGTGTGACCCAGCATGTTCTGGGTTGTTGTTTGTTTGTTTTTTAACCAAAGTCCCATGTTAATCCACCCCTGCCTCACAAATGCTGTGGCCCTGATGAAATAAGACCTACCTGCTCCTCAACATGAAAAACAACAACAACAACATAGCTGCTCCTCATCTGATCTCCCGGAAGATTTACACTTAAATCTAACACCAGTAGCAAAATGTATCCAGGGAACAGCGACATCAAGCCCTGTCTAATTAACTAAGCCAACCAAGCAATGGAGCAACTGCATATTAAGTGTCTTGCTCACGCATTATGTGTCATTCTTGAGGGAAAAGGACATGTTGCTTGATAACCCTAGTTATTAAAAAAATGTTGCCTTTATTGGACTGCGGATAGTATGGAGACAGACAGCTTGAAAGCAGTAAAATAGTATGTGTATTAACCATTTAGTACCAGAATGCCCCACAGCCCTTGTTACTACATGTTAAATCACACCATCATGTGAGAAACATGCAAATTAGAATTTTGTGCCCATAGGTATAAACATATGCTCATATGAGATTTCCAAATCGCTTGAGACGCATAACAACAGGTCTGACGCAGAAAAAGAAACACATATACATGGTCTCTACATACTTACAGGCTTCACTGGCGAGTGTCCACATATTAGACGACAGCCCATTATTGTTTTAGCTGCCCTCTTACATACAATGGGAAAATGGAGAACTAGATTTGAGGTCAGTAAGGAGTGTGTTATGATGGTGGTACCTTAATTGTTTATTGATTTACAATTACACAGTCTGTTGTGTGTGTGTGTGTGTGTGTGTGTGTGTGTGTGTGTGTGTGTGTGTGCGCTCATATTTGTGGTTCAGTCTTGAGTGTCTGAAGTTTCCGGTTTCCAGTTTGATGCGTGTTCTAACTGCAGCCGAGCTTACAGGTTGAGAAATGTACACAGGTTGGACAAAATGTAAACACATCACAGTCAAGGACTTTAACTGAATGAAAGTCACGAAAATAAAGTCACATACAATACAACACACTGTTAAATGCTAATTAATGTAGCTGTGTCTGCCAGCTATTGAAGAGCTCTGACAATCAGTACTTTCTTCTCCCAGTTTTGAAATATTCAGTGTTAGACAACCAACTGAGCATCATTAACGCAAAATGATCTGTTCCCAAACTGAAGGTGCATGAGTCAAGAAATTACAGCATTTAATTCATTTTATTTGCAATTTCAAAGAAAAGTATAGTTTTTTTTTTATAGAATTATAATTATAGAAAATTGGCCAGAAGTTACAATTATAAAGACACAGGATGCACCATAAGGTGTGGGAAAGTTCTGCTATTTGGCAACAATAAATCAGAGTTTGAGAGGAGATTGAGTTATTCTTAAACTTATTTATTGTTTAGCATTTGTGCTGTTTTGATGTTTTCCCACATGATGCTGTTTTGAATGACATTTGGCCCAAGCATTACCAATAGCATGCACTTGCCTTAAATGTATAGATAGGTACAGTATGCATAGACTAGCACTATCAATGTTGTAACCACTAGCATTATATTATATTCCAACATTATTTTATGCACGATGGATTATTTCACAGTGACAGTGAAATTTCTGACTAATGAGCAGCAGAAACATCTAGCCAGGCAGGTTCATACACGTCATTTCCAGGAAATCAGGTGTGATTGGTTTAAAGGTCGTATGCCATATTATGGTTGTGCATGTTTCTGCCCATTGAATGCAAATCATGTACATGTTTGATATCGCCGCTGAGAATCATTCAAAGTGCATTACAGGATCGTTGCCATTGGCCTCTATTTATTTCAGTACAATGTTAAGATTCTTTTCAAAGAGCTTGGGATAAGTCATCACAGTAACTGTTTAGTTGACTTTTTACTGGAGACTCTTCGCACTACTGAGAATGAAAATAACTGAATATATAGTAGTTACAAAATATACTGAAAGTGGATGGTTCCTACCTTCTACCATATGATAATTCATCGGTTATAATCTTACAATATGTACCTATACTAATTTATAATAATGATGATGTACGACAGATCCAGTTGTTAATAATTTTGCCCAGAAGAAGAATGGATCTCAAGGCAGAAGCTGTGATGGGTAGAATACATAAAATCTCTACACAGGTTTTAACCTGACAACCACTCCCATGAAATAGTACTCAAGTAAAATGGTATGAAGGGCACTGCATGTGATTTGCTTTCTCTAATAGTTAAAACACCTAGTACCTCCTAGTATTTCTGCCAGTTTTTGAATGGGCGATGCAAGGTGTGAGACTCGGAGGGAAGATACGTATTGTAGTAGTTTTTTAGTTTCGCTGATTAGGCCTGCTCACCAAAATGGTCAGCAGTTATATAAGTTAAATAACCTTATAGCAGCTGATTGCTGCCATTAGCACTAAAAGTCATACCTCTTCTTGGAGTCATAACTGAGTCAAATTTGGACATAGACCTGATACACATATTTTGAAATTCAGTGTGACTTACGCTTCTCTGAAGATATCAATATCTCTGATGGCCATCACAAATAAATGTCCATAACTCCATTTAAAAGACTAAAATACGCTCCTTATAACTCCAGATTTTGCCTGAGAATCATCATGTTTTTAAGTGTGTTGTAGACCACAACTGTGTGTTCTACAGGGCATTTGATGAAAATTATTAACATTACTTTGACAATTAATCTGCAGCTACTGCTGCTACTCAGTTGCCAAACAACATGTATTTGCTGAACTAGAGGTGATATATATTTTCTTCGTACATGCCAGTTGACTGCTGTTAACAGTTTTCATTGCATTCTGATGTGAAAGCTGCCGAGTGTATTTCAACTAAATATATTGTTGTTTTTCAGGTAGATTGCTCCGGTATTCCAGTATTGCTTATCAGCATCAAGTGCTGCAACACAGCCAAGCCATTTGAGCGACAATCCAAACATATAGAGAAAAGGCGTCATTTCTAAATTGCTTTTAAAAGTGCATTCACCGTCAAGTATTCAGTTTCTGACTCACCCTCTGTGCCTTTTAAAAACATGACTACAAGGAAATGATTCACTCTCCACACTGGAGATGATCTGTCTTATTTCGTCAAAATAATCTGAACTGTATTCAGCTGTGTCAGCTCGCCTTGGATAAAAGCACGTATTGAACTTCATTGATAACTGTGGCAGCCTGGTAGAACACACAAGGACAGGAAACGGAGGCTGAGCGTTTTCTGTATCTGCCATTTGGTGCAAAGATGAGGAGGCGAGCTCATTTGTGAAGAAGAGGTTGTACAAACAAAAAGAGAAGCTTCACAGAAGCTCATTATATAATCCAATACCTTGCTGTTTTCTTACCTGCAGACACGCAAGCAAATGTACTGACCTTGGATGCAAAATTGCCCACTGCTATTTGATCAAAAATGGTTCCTTCCGTATGATAAGTTGAGAAATCATCATCTTCTGTTTTGCCTCAAAGTTTGCCTCAGTATTTTTGTAGAGTACCTGAACCCAGAGCTGCTTCCTCACCACCCAGGAAGAATGCCTTTGACTAATCCCCAGGGCTGTCTTATCATGTGTGATTGAATAGAGCCTTCAGTCCCCAGGAGACGGGCTAACCTTTATCTTGCCTATTTTCTATTTCTGCATCTCTTTCTTTCCTCTCCAGAACAAGGTGTTTGTGGGAAAAGGAGACCTGTTCACTGTTTACACCCTCCAATATGCACATTGTTCCCCCAATGGGCGTGCGTTTGAAACATGAAAGGCTCTGAACAAAATGGAAAATTTCCACTCCATTAGCCGTGCAGCCAATCAGTGCGCAGTGACCCAGATAGGGAGTGTGATATTGATGATGACAGCAATAAAGACGTATTTTCACCACAAGCCTTCCTTCTAATTAGGTTGATCTGCAGAGAAAATAAATGAATTTTGACAAAATGCAAAAGAGGTGGTGTGCTGGGAGGATTAGACAAGAGAGTGTGACAGGAGGGGCGGGGGGGTGAGATTCAGAAGGTTTTTGGGGGTTAAGTGACTCCACTGTTGGGGAATGGGTGACAATTTCTAGTGAAATGAGATTCCGTGGCTTCAGGTTCCTCCTGAATACGGTGGTTGGTCGAAGTAATTGTTCAGGGTCGAGTGGGTGATCCTCATTGATGATGGCTTTTTTTTTTTTTTTGCATATCTTGACGAGCCCATTTACTTCGGACAAACTTCAGTGTGTACGAAATCAAAATTGTATCTGCTGCCTTTTCAGGCTGCAAATTAACTGCTGATGTATTGTATTAAAGAATGCCCTTATAGCTGAAAACTAAAGAATGGTGGTAGTCTAGGGATGGTGTTGATGCTTACTGGAAGACCAAATTCCTTTAAAAATCATCCTGGGAATCTCTCCCTTCACTCAGCTGTTGGAGTGCCTTTGAGCAAAAAAGGACAATAACACTATAGTAATTTGCTATTATTAGTTTTGTTTTCAAGAGATTTTAAAACTATATAAAAGTTAGTCAATTAAGCCACAATTTTCTAAAAATCTAGCTGTAATTTTCATGTAATATCACAGACTCATGAACATTTTGTTTCAGTTTGTGTGTTACTTTATGCTGTAGTTGACAGACGGTGGGAAATGTAATGTAAGATATTAAACGATTTATTTTGGAAAATATCTGTATGGTAATCAATATTGAATGGCATAATAACTGCATGGATTTACCTGTGGTAGTATTGGGTAGATTGGGTCTGAGATTGGGTCAATCACCCGAAATAATAATTTTCTCCGATTTCGAGACCCGCATGGACATTGCACTCCACCTCTACTGGTCCCTGTAAGCTCTATTGCCTTTTTAAATTATGTTGAGCACCACAAGCTTTCACAAGTGATTTTTTTATTGTAT